GGTACATACACTCGATGTGGACCGTGTTCTGGATAGGTATCCTGGTCACGATTAAGGTGTTCTTATGAACTAGAGCCACACACCCCCCGCCCACATCCCCTCACCTGCTCACTAACAGAGTACCCAGCTTGGAGGGCCTGTGCCCAGGTAACAGCACTATCCTCTCCCAGCCAGGTCTCTGTAAAGCATGCCAGGTCGGCATCCTCATCCAGGAGTAAATCCTGGATGATGTGGGTCTTATTTTTCACCGACCTGGCGTTGCAAAGGAGCATAGTGAGGTTCTGTGGAATGGAAGGTCTGCTCTCCAAACTATTCTGGGAAACAGAGGGGACTGAAGGCGGGATAGCTACTAAACAGCGATCCCGCCTTCTTTTGCAACATTTGTCCACTCTGTTGCCGCCATATCTCCCATTCCCTAGACCTATACCAGCTAAGCTGCTAGCTATTCATGGATACCTGTCTTGACAGAAATCACATTTTATGTAGTTATAAAGGAAAAAGTAACTTGATGGCAGGTTCTGCTGCTGGTTTCCAGATAGAATCTGGCCCTCATAAGTTCTTAGTGTGACAAGATTGTGTACGGTCCACCAGGAATAATCCCTGGGCTATGAATATGACTAGATTGCATTTTGCTGGTTTTAAGCTTTTAAACTTTCCACTATGTTTTCCCTCAGATCTGACTGATGGTGCCTGTGATCCTAAAACAGCTGAGATTTTAGGTGGCAACTATACCGTGCTGGAAAATGGCTCACTGTTGCAATATAGTTGCCCAGATGGACAATACCCATACCCTACAGAGTTCCGGTTTTGTGAGTCTGGCAGGAGATGGAGCCCCCTGAGAAATGCAAAAGGCAACTCTGTCCGCCAGGCCAAGTGCCAAGGTATGAAAAGAAAATACATTGAGTGTGAAGTCGAAGGCTTTCATGGCCAGCATCCATAGTTTTTTGTGGGTTTTTCGGGCTGTGTGGCCATGTTCTAGAAGAGTTTCTACCCACATAAAACCCACATAAAAACACATTGACTTTTAAATCGAGAGATTCTGCATTTCATGGCAACTTGGAAGCAGTGTTTAAATTAGCTATGGTTTCAGGAAACAACCCATCCGATTCCATAAATCTTGGACCATCTTTGTGGCTTCCCCAGCTCCAGAACAACCTATAACTGTAGATGGCACAGTTTCTTGTCATCCCCCAAGACTGTCATCAGCCAAAATCCTACAGAAGTTAAGCCCAGCATAAAACAGCGGGTCCTTCCTATGTGCAGAGGATCCGTTCTGGAACCCACCCACCCCATGGATAGCAAAAAATGCGGGACCTCAAGTCCCATTGTTTCCAATGATGCATGTTCCCACGCATGCTGGCACATACATATGTGGCCATTTTACAAGCCAGGGCTTGCCGTCCGCGGAGGCTCAAATCCATGGATGTCAAGCCCGCATAAGGCAAGGGCATACTGTATTGATTGAAGGAATTATGCTACCCACCCCCACACTCATGTTGATGATGCTTATGTTGATTATGCTAATGTTGATGATGATATTTATTTATGTCCCACTTTCACCACAAAATTCACTCAAAGTCACTCACAATTTAGAAAAACAATAAATCTAAAAACATGCAAAAAGTGAGCACAAAAATAGAACTAAACTAATAAGTATTAAAATACACCACACATGAAAGGAATAAAATGCAATTAAAAATATAAAAGTGCTTAAAGACAGTGCAATTAAAAGAGTACAGCATCCCCTGCCTGTTCTTTGACTTTCTGCTTTAAAAGCCTATCTGAACAAAAAGGTTTTAGCCTGCTGATGGAAGAACAACAAGGAGGGGACCATTCTGGCCTCCCTGGGAAGAGAGTTCCAGAGTCTCTTCTTCTGAAATATATAGACTACCATGCCTAGTATTGCTTGGCAGTCTCCCATCCAAGTACTAACCAGGCCTGACCTTGCTTGGTTTCCAAGATCAGATGGGATCTAGTGTCTTTAGGTTATCCAGGCAGTGCTATTTCACCCGTAGGTGAAGTTTACTGTTGCATAGCTTTGGTCTCCTGATAATATCTACAGTGAGCCTAAAGAGCTTAAAAAGGCACCAGATCCCGTCTAATCTTGGAAACTAAGCAAGGTCAATCCTGGCTAGTACTTGCATGGGAGACCGCCAATGTATGTCAGGTGCTGTGGACTGTATTTCAGAGGAAGGAACTGGCGAACCAGCTCTGAGTATTCCTTGCTTTAAAAAAAAAACCTATGAAACTCTTGGTTAATATCACCATAAGTTGACAAGGTACCCAAAGACACACACATATACTGTGTCTGCAGACCAAGCTGCAGTAATGATAGACAGAGTAGAAGGAACTAGTAAGAAAGTTGGCAATCCTACATAACTGCTGACAGCTGAGACTTGCCACATGCTCTGGTGCCCTTTTACTTTTGATAGTAGATAGAGGATTGTTGTTGTTTTAGCATGTCAGAAATTATTATTTGAGATTGGGAATTTCAACCAATCTCTTCCATGTTTGCAAATGTTGGCAGCCATAATGCTCAGATCTGAAACACCTTCATAATGATGAGAATAAGATATGACAGTGCTGAAAGGGGCAGCCAATTTGATTTAAGAAGATGCTAGAGCAAAGTGCTTTGTTGTAATAACATCACCATGCTTGTGCATAAACTTATGCATGATGTGGTGAAAAGTGGATAGAAAGATCTCTCTCTCTCTCTTTTCATAATATTGGAACCTGGGATCATCCACTCAATCTCAATAGTGAGAGGGCAGGTATAAAGAAAGAACTTCTTTACATGACCATAAACTGTAATAATAATAATAATAAAACTTTTTATTTAATATCCCGCCCCTCTGAGATCAATCGGGGCAGCTTACATAATAAAATCATATTACAACAATTAAGAACAATTCCCTTCCACCTCCCACCCCTTAAAAATTTATTAAATCCAACAATATCAAAAATACCAAATAAAAGAGGGTATATGGCTCTATATAAAAGATCGAAACAATGTAGAGTTCACTGTTGCAAGACAAGGGATGGCTGTTAACTCCGAAGGCCTTAAAAGGGAATTGGATGAATTAGTGAAAACTGGAGCTGCTGTGGCTACAATAAGTTATGATGGACACTAACACCCACACATACCACTTCTGACAAGTTTTTTTTTCCAGAAGGATACAGTTAATCACTAATAATGCATATTTCTTAGAGTGATTGACAAACAGAACTGTCTAAATCAGGGGTAGGCAACCTTTTTGAGCTGGGGGCCGGGTTGCTGTCCCTCAGACAATTGACGGGCCGAAGCACCAAAAATAAATAAATAAATAAATAAATAAATAAAAATTAAAATTAAAAAAGAATTAAAAAATTAAAAAAAAAATGCATGCACACTCTCTCAGCCCCAGAAAAGCCATGGCAAAACCCC